GCTGCCCAGGGAGGTGGTTGAGGCCCCATCCCTGGAGGTGTTCAAAAGACGGGTTGATGTAGTGCTGGGAGGTATGGTTTAGTGATGGGGATGCTTCTTGTTTGTTGTGCGGGTGTCTATTTTTGTCAGTTAGGGTGACGGTTGGACAAGATGATCTTTAAGGTCCCTTCCAACCTAGAAGATTCTGTGATTTATACGTACAGTTTTAAGGCTGATAGCCGTCACCTCTAAGCTTAACCATTATTTCTGAGACTGTCTTTCTCTCTTCTTCCACTCTCCTCTTGCTTTGCATCTCCCTCACATTCACGGTTTCTTGGTTTCATTCATGAAACTGCTGCTAGCTCTTCTCTGGAGACCCACAAAACGTTCAGGTGGATTTATCCGAATGGTCTCTGAGTGTGGTTAAGCTCATTTCTTGTACTAAATGAGCCCTTTAGTTTAGGAGCTGCTCTCTCTGACATCCCAAATAAAAATAATGAGCTGCTCTCTCCCAGCAGCGAGCTGCCCCTGGGAGTTCATTAGGACACTAGCTTGGTGAGGGTCCCCGAGGAGTGAAGTTACTTGTCCTTTCGCTTTATGCTTCCCAGCGCTCGCTCTCCGGGAGGACCCAGAGCCCATTAGCCTCTTAATGCACATCCTGTTTTGCTTATTGCTTTATTAATATTGGGCTGGGAATGAAGAGCAGATGTTGCCCAAAAATGGCAGCAGTGTTAGGGAAAAGGGGAAGGAAGACAAGTGAGCTGATTTATTGCTTTTGTGGCATACCATCCAGTGGAAAACCTGGCTGGAAGTGTGAAATACTGAAGGAAAAGCAGAGCCATTATTAACTCATGCCACCCTTCAGCTGAGCTCTTCCCTCCCTTCGTGGCCTGGAGTAGACCAGGCTGAGGCATCTCCTTGGGGGTCAGCAGCTCCCTGGAATAACAAGGGCATCTCCTTGGGGGTCAGCAGCTCCCTGGACTAACAAGGACAATTTAGATGCAGTACTGAGGGATATGGTGTAGGGGAGGACTATGTAGAGTAGGGTAGATGGTTGGACTTGATGATCCCAAGGGTCTCTTCCAACCTGAATGATTCTATGATTCTATGTAAAGCCCCAAATCCGTCACAACCAAAGTGTGACCTCAAAAGGACAGTGCCTTTGTAGCTCTGTTACCTTCTCTTCTGAAAATAATACAGCTCAGGGGACCAAGCCAGCCTGAGTTAAGGTACTGCTCTTCCTCTCTGCTGATCGATCCTACTGCCAAGAGGTCTTGTCCCTCAAAGAAAAGCAGTCGAGGGAGGAACTGTTAAAATGAAGGGCCTGTTTTCCACTAGTCATGACTTGAGTCTTTCACTAATGCAGATAAATCAAAAGTAGGATGTCAGCCCATGCCCTTAATCTAGCAAAATGAGAACCATGTTCTTTTGCAGCTGTAGCCATAAACAAACTGTTCTGCAACACCAATTGATTGCTTTGTGCTTGAGGGAGACCCTATATTTTAAATTCACTACGGCGAAACTTTAAAAGCAGAAAGTTTGCATAATAAGTCTTGCACATTTATATTTTATTGTGAACTTGGGTGCCATTGTTGCATCTCCTGTAATCAACCTGTCAAGTGAAGAGAGTAATATTGATTTCCCCTTCATCACTTGGCATTGGATGCTCATACCCACTGCAGACTACAGGCACTCTTTTTGCTCAGCTAACCTGTTATTTAACTTTTTAGAGCCAAAAATAAGCAGGGAAGTCAGGCGTTTTGGCAGCTGTAGTCAGCTGGAGTAATTTCCTAAAACAAACATCTTCACCTAGTCCCAAGGACAATTTTATCTCTTGATAGATTGGCCACTGCAGAAAGAATTGAAATTGTCCCTGTTTGCAGCTGCTGGGAAGGCTGGAAACACTGCATCCTTGTATTTTCCCATGGACCTGGAAAATGTCTTTTTAATATCTGCTGTTAATCTGCGATCTCATGAAAATTATTGTTGGTTTTTCACAATAACGACTAGGAATCCTGGTCATAGAACAAGATCCCAAAGCTGTTGTAGAAATACGTGATCCATAAGGCTTAAAAACTGCAGTTATTGGTTCATCACATACCTGTTATGGGCAATGGAATTACTGAAGTTTAATGGATTTCTCCCTACCAGCTGAATTATATATAAGTTTTCAGGGATGGCTCAGTGAGATGACTGAGCTGAATTAAGAGCTCTCCCTTGTTGAAGTGGGCAACCCTCTCTTTCCTCTCTTCCTCTTTCCCCATGGAATCATTGAGATGAGTTTTCCTAGAACCCTTGAAAACCTATCTGAATCAAAGAGAATACTAAAATTACAGTACACAACTTGGGGTACCTTATCAACAGGAGAAAAGTGGTGAAAATCTAGGGGGAAAAAAAAAAAAAAGTATTGTTTTGGCTGTGTGGAGTTTGAGCTGCTTGAGTGCCAAGCAAGCACAAAGAGGTATCAAGCACGAGCTTGATAAAAATAGAATATGCTACCCTGTGAAGCTATCCTATCGATCCACATTATAAATAAGTAAAGAAGTGTGGCAAGTCAGTCTTAAAAACTTAAGTTTTATTTTTAAAGGAGGGGGAAAGAAATCCAAGGTAAATCCTCCATCCTGCCAGAGCAGCACTAGCTATTCAGAAATGCGTGGGGTACCACACTTCTTTGGTATATTCCTTGGCATGGTAAATTTCAGGGCAAAATAGGAATATCTCATCAGTTCACCTCTTTCAAATCACAATAAACATAATAATTTGCAGGACTATCTAGACTTACCTTAGTACCAGGGCTTTAAAAACAAACACTTGGGAGGAAAACAAATGGGTGGAATTCACAGAATCACAGAATCTTAGTGCTTGGAAGGGACCTCTGAGATCATCGAGTCCAACCATATTAAAAAAAACAAAACACCCCACACAAACAACACAACAAACCCCCAAACACCACCCACCAACTAAACCCCACACCCACAACCCCACACACAACACCCCACCACAAACCTATAATCTTGGGCACTAGAGCATGCCCTGAAGAGCCACGTCTACACGTTTCTTAAATACCTCCAGGGATGGTGACTCCACCATCAAGAATTCAAGACACTCTACAGAAACACAGAGAAGGGGATTAGGAGGAAACTCTGTGAGGAATAAACTCCTGTTTTTCCCAGGTTTTGTGCGTGTTTCCCACTTCTGGAGGTGGGTCATCTTGGTGACAAAAGAGCCTGGACAAAAGGGATCATCAGGTGGCCAGATCATTTTCCTAAAAAAAAAATATAAATAATTAAAATAATCAATCCCTTTTTTTTTTTTTTTTTTCCTTTCACATTTCAGCAGATGCTGTGATTGTGGTTTCTCCTCCTGGATGTTTTGGTACCTTTGGCACGACCCCCGGGAGCATCCTAAACGCCTTCTCCAGGCTGAGGGGCCACGGGGTTGCTATTTCGAGGTGTGTGGGGGGCTTCTCTAACTTTTCTCCCCCCCCAACGGGTGCGAAGCTGCATTTCCAAGGGGGAGGGAAAGCAAAGGCTTTTTTTTTCTTTCTTTTTTTGTCCCCCCTCCTCCTAAACTCTTGCGAGGGGCTGGAAGTTGGTTTAGGG